ATGTTGATTTGATAAGAAATGTAGGAAATAGGCATCCTAGTAATCATATAGGCCTAATTTTGGTCATTTTGAATGAAAATGCATCCTAAAACCCATAAATTGCTATTTTCATGTGATTTCAAGTCTTAGCCGCCTATACTAAAGTACTATTGACATGTTAAGTGAAAGAATGATTTTATTTGATAAGAAATGTAGGAAATAGGCATCCTAGTAATCATATAGGCCTTATTTTGGTCATTTTGGATGAAAATGCGTCCTAAAACCCTTAAATTGCTCTTTTCATGTGATATCAAGCATTAGCCGCCTATATCTAAGTACTATTGACATGTTATGAGAATAAATGAGTTGATTTGATAAGAAATGTAGGAAATAGACATCCTAGTTGTCATATAGGCCTTTTTTGGGTCATTTTGAATGAAAATGCGTCCTAAAACCCATAAATTGCTATTTTCATGTGATTTCAAGCCTTAGCCGCCTATACCAAAGTACTATTGACATGTTAAGAGAAAGAATGATTTGATTTGATATGAAATGAGGAAATAGGCATCCTAATACTCATATAGGCCTTATTTGGGCCATTTTGGATGAATATGCGTCCTAAAACCTTTAGATTGTCGTATTCATGTGATTTCAAGCTTAAGCCGCCTATAACAAAGTAATAATGACGTGTTATGAGAAATAATATGTTGATTTGATAAGAAATGTAGAAAATAGGCATCCGAGTAGTCACATAGGCCTTGTTTGGGTCATTTTGGATGAAAATGCGTTTTAAAACCCTTGAATTGCTCTTTTCATGTTGTTTCAAGCCTTAGCCGCATGTGGCTAAGTACTATTGACATGTTATGATAAAGAATGAGTTGATTTGATAAGAAATGTAGGAAATAGGCATCATAGTAGTCATGTAGGTCTTATTTGGGCCATTTTGGATGAAAATGCGTCCTAAAACCCTTAAATTGCTCTTTTCATGTGATTTCAAGTCTTAGCCGCTATTACTGAGTACTATTGACATGTTATGAGAAAGAATGAGTTGATTAGATAAGAAATGTAGGAAATAGGCATCCTAGTGCTCATATAGGCCTTATTTGGGCCATTTTTTGGATGAAAATGCGTCCTAAAACCCTTGAATTGCTCTTTTTATGTGACTTCAAGCCTTAGCCGCCTATAACAAAGTAATAATGATATGTTATGAGACAGAATATGTTGATTTGATGAGAAATGTATTAAATAGGCATCCTAGTAGTCATATAGGCCTTATTTAAGCCATTTTGGATGAAAATGCGTCCTAAAACCCTTAAATTGCTCTTTTCATGTGATTTGAAGCATTAGCTGCCTATTACTAACTACTATTGACATGTTATGAGAATGAATGAGTTGAATTGATAAGAAATGTAGGATATAGGCATCCTAGTAGTCATATAGGCCTTATTAGGGTCATTTTGGATGAAAATGCGTCCTAAAACCCTTGAATTGCTCTTTTCACGTGATTTCAAGCCTTAGCCGCCTATAACAAAGTAATAATGACATGTTATGAGAAAGCATATGTTGCTTTGATAAGAAATGTAGGAAATAGGCATCCTAATAGTCATAGAGGCCTTATTTGATCCATTTTGGATGAAAATGCGTCCTAAAACTCTTAAATTGCTCTTTTCATGTGATTCAAGCCTTAGCCGCCTATAACTAACTACTATTGACATGTTATGAGAATGAATGAGTTGAATTGATAATAAATGTAGGAAATAGGCATCCTAGTAGTGATATAGGCCTTTTTTGGGCCATTTTGGATGAAAATGAGTCCTAAAACCCTTAAATTGCTCTTTTCATGTGATTTTCAAGCCTTAGCCGCCTATAACAAAGTAATAATGACATGTTATGAGAAAGAATATGTTGATTTGATAAGAAATGTAGGAAATAGGCATTCTAGTACTCATATAGGCCTTATTTGAGACATTTTGGATGAAAATGCGTCCTAAAACCCTTAAATTGCTCTTTTCATGTGATTTCAAGCCTTAGCCGCCTATAACTAAGTGCTATTGACATGTTATGAAAAAGAATGAGTTGATTTGATGAAAATGTAGGAAATAGGCGAAGTAGTAGTCATATAGGCCTAAGTAATAAATATTTGCCTAAGTGAACTTGTAAATGTATTTTTACATGCATAACCTAAGAAATTAATTCTAACATAAGTTTTGTTTATTCCATGTTTTACAAGTTACAAAGGGGAGGTCCGTTGACAAGCAAGGAACTTAATGAAGTTCAAGACATGTTGGCGTCTTTCATAACCTTTAATTTGTAAATGTGATTTCTATTTGAATTTGTATTTTGTTAACTTTTTAACTACATTATTAATTAGTATTGTTTGTAAATATGACACTTTTTTTTTTTTGAGGAATTGTAAATATGAAACTTCATTGTATTGCATTTGGAATTATTAATTAATATTTATATATTGTTGTTATTATTTCAATTTAGAAATTATTATTATTATTTTTAATATTATAAATAATAATAATAATAACAACAACAATAGTAATTATAATTATATACTATAAAATGGTAGAATTAATGCAGGATGTACAGGTTTTTTATTATTATTATTATTATTAGTAGTATTATTATTTATTGCTAGAAAACAAAAAAAAAATAAAAAAACTGTTAAAGGCACCGGTTAACCAGTGCCAATTATATGTAAAAAAAAATTAAAAAAAAAAAAAGAAAAAAAAACCGCTCCGGGTACTTTTAGCACCGGTGCCAAAGAGTTTAATTCGCACCGATTAACCGGTGCGAAATCTAAGAATTGGCACCGGTTTTGAACCGGTGCGAATGCTTTTGGTTTTTGGCATCCCTCAAATCTGGACCGGTTCAAAACCGGTGCTAAATGGGGTTTTAAACCGGTGCTAATTTACATTTTTCGCCTAGTGTTACGGTTGTTGACCTGTGAACCATTGATTACAGAATTTAAATGAAGAATTTTGCTAGCATGTGTTTACAACATATGGGAGAAAAAAAAATGAAGTGGTTTCTTCACCACCATTGGTGAGATAAAAAAAAAGTGTAATCATGGTGGTGGTAGGTTAGTAGGACCAACTTAACCAAAAATTTAAGCTGATTGTTGAGGCTCATGAATATGTTTATACTCTATCACACCCCCTCACATAAGAGCCCTTTGGGCTTGAAATGTGGATGCAGCATGGGCCTCCTCATACCCTGCGTGAAATATAAATATTCCACTTGAAAGTTGGAGGTGGACGAGATTCGAACCCGTGACCTTTGTGTCACGCTTGCTCCGATACCATGTTAGAGGACCAACTCAAACAAAAACTTAAACTGTCTGTTGAGGCTCGCGAATATATTTTATACTCTATCAGCTAATAATAAGGGATATTTTTTCATTATCAAAATTAGGAGTAAGTCAAGGGATTACAAATTAAAAATAATAACTAATAGTAATAATTATTTAATCATCATCATCCTTTACACCTCTATAATACTGAACTTGTAATCATGTAATATTGATCAAGTAACCCACCCATATAGCACTGATAGAGTAACCCCTATAACACTAATAAAGTAACTTCTACGATGAAATCGCATATAAATTTTTTTGATAAAAAGTTAAATCTTCAAAAACTATACATTAAAAAAATTCTAACAAATATTTATATGCCAATGTTTGATACGAAGTATTTTGTATCAAGTAAAAGCATTAGTTAAAGCGGTATACAGAGTTTACAAATGAGACAATAGTCACACTAAGATGCTTAAGAAAAGAAAGGGAGTAAAAATTTTAAACCATTTATTTTCTAGTCATTTTATTATTTTAAATTGTTATAGATTTTTTGTTGTTAAAAAATTGATATAGATTGAAAAGACTGTTAATATTTGATTATTTAGTTATTAGTGTGAATTAATAGATGCATTGACTTTTAACATGAATTTTATATCAACTTTGACCCTGTATTATTACTAATACTACGTATATGAAATTAAAATTTATTGAGTATTATTTTAATTGTTGTCGAGTAAATTTTAATTTATTTTCAAAATATTAATTTTCTTATACTTTGTATTACAAAATACTCTCTATATTTTTTTAAAAATAAATACATCACTTGAAATTTTATACTTGTACTTGTACTATATATACATTAACTTTGAATTATTTTTTTAAACTAATATACTACCATAATTAATGAATGTTATCATGTATGTTGTTGGATTAATAATACTGATTACTTTTTTTAATACCCAACACTTATAAATATTTAAGCCCTTTTCACTTTACCTTACCTTATTATTTTGGCTGAAATGAAATTACTATTAAACTAAAATTATATTTGTTAAACTTAAATTATTTTTACCAAACTGAATTATTTTTACTGATTTCCTATATTACTCTTGCTTCCGTCAGGATAAATCTGACCCCTTCCCCTGTTACCACCTACATATATCGGATATTTTAAGAAGTGAACGTCTTTCTTAGTGGCAGGGTCTGGAGAAAGAATAGAAAAGGTAATTTCACTATATTTTTGCCCAAGAACAGGACCTATCACAAGAATATTTTTTTTGTTGGGGCGATAGCTCTGAAAAGAAAGATTCCCTATCTTTTCTTTCATCTCTGGAGAAATACGGTCGGTGGGGGGCTAATTCAAACCCTTCAGGTAAAATAAGAACAGCCCCCACATTCAAACCCCCCTTTTTGCCCTTTTTGCCCTATATATCATCTTTATGTTACTAATTTTTAATAAATTGAAATTACTTTAACTTGTATAGGGTGAAATGAAGTTATGAACCGGATCTTAGTTGAAAAAATAAAGAGTTAAAGTTGTGCCTAGTATAAACATATATCAAGTCGCAGATAAAAACGAAGTAGAATCCTCGGCTAAAAAAGTTCAGCATTTTTAAAATCTAAATAAAAAGAAAACCCAGCTGTAAAAAAAAATAACCAACAATCACACACAGATCAGATGAAGAAAAGGAAAGTGTAAGAATAGAGATAATACCAAGTACTGCAGAGCTCAGATGATGATTTTATGAGCAGATCCGGTGATTCGAGGAATTCAAAATCAATAATTGAAGGAAAATACGAGTTGAGGGATCCGAAGATAAGAAGTGAGGACTTGAGGAGAGTATTGACTTTGACACTTGATGACTTGAGGAGAGTGGGAATGGACTGTTATTATAGTAATAATTTAGCCTATTAGCTGGACTCCAAACGAAATCTCGGTCGTAATTTAACATCAATAATATAGGTTGTGTTTGATAAACAGTTTCTTGGTTAAAATTAGATGATTTGACTAATTTTAGCTGATTGAGTATAGTTTTATTTACAAACTATATAAAAAACATATTTGGTCCTAATATATATTGTTAAATAGATATTGACATAAAGGTTCATATTAGTAGTATAATTTTTACTGATTTTAATTATATATAAATAAAGTTAAATTAGTGCATCAACCTATATGTAAAGTTTGACTGTGTCATTCATTCTGAGACAAAGGAAGTAAGTCAATATTAGTGTTTAGTGTAGCTGGTAAGCTTATTGGATAAGCTTATTTGCCTCAATAAATAAGGTTTTTTTTTTAAAAACATTGCTCATAGTCGCGTTTGTAAAGAGGTGTTTAATAGGATGAATTTAAATGACAAACTTGCCCTTATTTATTACCAAACCTATCACAACTTTACAACTAACTAATATTCATTGTTTGGTTTTTTTATTTAGTTTAACAAATTTAATTATTTTCACGTTAATACATTGTCACAATTTTTGCCCTAGTAGAATTCTTTTAACAATTTTAATTTTTTTTTTTTTTTTTTTTTTTTTTTTTTTGAAAGAAGTCCTAAAGGACATTATATTTCAATAATGAAAGTCATACGACATCTACAATTGACAATTAACGATAATGAAAACAGATTTAACAAAATCAAACAAGAATTAACCAGGGAAGGGCTAAGAATCCAAATACATAAATATAACAATTCGGCACATTCTCTATTTGTTGTCTCATACAACTTTTTGAGTGGATCCGTTGCCGCTTCATAATTTGATTGTGAGAAAGAAAAATTTTGTGCTGATTTCTTAATCCGAATCCAAGCAAAAATCAATTGTAGCCCCACACAACTACAGACCATATTAAGCGCAAATAAAACCTTGTCTCTCAAAGGAGATCGAAAAAACCTTGTCTTTCGAAGGAGATCGAAAAAACCTTGTCTTTCGAAGGAGATAAACTCTTTCTTTCGAGGGAGATTATTATAACCTAAGAAACAAAAAAACATAAAAGAAACAAAGATTGGGGCTTTCCACCAGTAAAATCCGATGAAAACCCCTATAAAATTAACAATAGAGGCTAGGGTTTAGGAGAAAGAAGAGAGAGAAGAGGCTAGGGTTTTTTTTTCTTTTTTAAATACACTTAATTTTAAATTTTCTATAATTCCCACTTTAATTATATTCACGTTAATACATTTTATTTCCTTATATATCTAACAATATATCAATTTTTTGCAATAACTAATCCTTCAAAAATTAAATATGTCAATTTCTTTATTAGTCATTGGAGGGAAAAGGGAATAAAAGACAAAAAAAAAGAGCGTTATTTAAAGTCACGTGATGGTCAATGGTCGTAAAATAAAGTCAAATATCGAAATCCTCTTACAAGTCCTCCTTACAACCTAATGGGATATAAGGATCTTTTTTTGCAACCTTTTTTACACAAGGATCTTTCTCACAAAATTTACCACTTAAAATAACCTTTCTCACAAGTTTTCCATTTATATATTGTCTCCGCTATATTTTTTAGTTGACACATTTGTTTAATTACATTTGTTCATGTAAATATTCAATAGTTAATATCTTTAACTATCAACAAGTTTTACATAGCTATTTTATTATTATTAAATCACAAAAGTTAGTCAAAGTAAAATCTAAAGTCAAAATGTATCAACTAATAAAAAACGAAGAATAATCTTTAACAAATTCAATCGAACCACAGTATTACATTAAAAAGTAACGAATGGAGGAAGTATTTGTTTATTTAATCAAATCTAGCTTGAGTAGTACTAGAATGATCCAATTCTTTGAGCGTGAGGCAAGCCAAACAAAATGTTTACATATTGATTCCAAGTTATGACACAACAAGAATTAAGCCTATTTCCGACGGAAAATATCCCTCGGAAAATAGGCAATTTCCGTCGGAAATCGTCATTTTCGACGGAAACAGCCTGTCGGAAAACCCTTCGTCGGAAAAAAGGTCGTTTTCGACGGAATTCCGACGGAAATGACGATTCCGATGGAATTTCCGACGGATCAATGGCGTCGGAGAATGGTGGCCAGGGGGGTGGAAAAGTCCGTCGGAGATGTCCGACGGACTAGAGATTCCGTCGGAAAGTTCCCCTTTTCCGACGGAAATTATCCGCCGGAAAATTCCCTCTTTTCCGACGGAATTAATCTGCCGGAAATGGGGGTAGTTTCCGACGGAATTGTTCCGTCAGAAAGTTCTTTTTTTTTTTTTTTTTTAATTTTTTTTTTTTGCTTCTATTTCGTCTCTGTATATTAACCTGTTCTTCGCTACTACAATCTATTTAAAACATAATAACATTTCATTTGAAAATAAAGCAATTAACATAAATTAATAATTGTAATTATTACATTCAGTTTTGTTAAATAACCTACATTGTATCTCAAATTATGTACAATACGTGAAAAGAAACAAAAAGCTACATGACGGCAAAAGAAGCCAAGCCTCCCCCACAACCGGGGTCGTCGTCCCAAGGGTCTCGCGGCTGCGGCGGCATCGGCGGGGAACATGTGAATGGAGTGTTGAGTCTGGTCATGCGACTCAACATCTCGTCCATCATCTCTTTGTTCCTCCGCTCAAGTTCCGCCATCTGAGCCTATACCTGAGCCTGTACCTGAGCCTGTACCTGGGCCTCCATTTGGGCCTGCATTTGAGCTTGCACCCGAGCATCGATCTCATCCACAACAGATGACGGCGGGTGGTACTGCTGAGAGGACCCAGATCCTCAGGAGGATTGATAGTACAACTCAGCACCTCGACCAAGCCCCTTACTCGGCCTTTCTTGTTACGCCCGCCTACTGCATCCCAGTACAGTTCATCCTGGATTTTGGAAGACTCCTGACTGCTTGCTTCCTCAACCATTTTATGATATGTTTCCTATAGAAAATTGACGAGATATATTAAGAAATAATGATGTTTCAAGAGAAAAGGGGCCAACAATGGGCCAAAACGGTTCTACCTTGCCTATTTTTCACATTTCTTATCAAACTAACCTATAACTTGCACTAACATACCATATAGCCTAGTTACAAGTGTTCATGCATTGAAAACGAACCTTAGAAGCATTTCACTAAGTTTTGGGACGATATTCGTGATTTTCGAGGGAAAATGGGCCAAAAAGGCTTCTACCTTGCCTATTTTTCACATTTCTTACCAAACTAATCCATAACTTGCACTAACATACCAATATAGCCTAGTTACAAGTGTTCATGCATTGAAAACGAACCTTAGAAGCATTTCACTAAGTTTTGGGACGATATTCGTGATTTTCGAGGGAAAAGGGGCCAAAAAGGCTTCTACCTTGCCTATTTTTCACATTTCTTATCAAACTAACCTATAACTTGCACTAACATACCAATATAGCCTAGTTACAAGTGTTCATGCATTGAAAACGAACCTTAGAAGCATTTCACTAAGTCTTGGGACGCTATTGGTGATTTTCGAGGGAAAAGGGGCCAAAAAGGCTTCTACCTTGCCTATTTTTCACATTTCTTATCAAACTACCCTATAACTTGCACTAACATATCAATATAGCCTAGTTACAAGTGTTCGTGCATTGAAAACGAACCTTATAAGCATTTCACTAAGTCTTGGGACGCTATTCGTGATTTTCGAGGGAAAAGGGGCCAAAAAGGCTTCTACCTTGCCTATTTTTCACATTTCTTATCAAACTACCCTATAACTTGCACTAACATACCAATATAGCCTAGTTACAAGTGTTCGTGCATTGAAAACGAACCTTAGAAGCATTTCACTAAGTTTTGGGACGCTATTCGTGATTTTCGAGGGAAAAGGGGCCAAAAAGGTTTCTACCTTGCCTATTTTTCACATTTCTTATCAAACTGCCCTATAACTTGCACTAACATACCAATATAGCCTAGTTACAAGTGTTCACGCATTGAAAATGAACCTTAGAAGCATTTCACTAAGTTTTGGGCACTATTCGTGATTTTCGAGGGAAAAGGGGCCAAAAAGGCTTCTACCTTGCCTATTTTTCAACATTTCTTATCAACCTAACCTATAACTTGAACTAACATACCAATATAGCCTAGTTACAAGTGTTCGTGCATTGAAAACGAACCTTATAAGCATTTCACTAAGTCTTGGGACGCTATTCGTGATTTTCGAGGGAAAAGGGGCCAAAAAGGCTTCTACCTTGCCTATTTTTCACATTTCTTATCAAACTACCCTATAACTTGCACTAACATACCAATATAGCCTAGTTACAAGTGTTCGTGCATTGAAAACGAACCTTAGAAGCATTTCACTAAGTTTTGGGACGCTATTCGTGATTTTCGAGGGAAAAGGGGCCAAAAAGGCTTCTACCTTGCCTATTTTTCACATTTCTTATAAAACTACCCTATAAATTGCACTAACATACCAATATAGCCTAATTACAAGTGTTCATGCATTGAAAACGAACCTTAGAAGCATTTCACTAAGTCTTGGGACGCTATTCGTGATTTTCGAGGGAAAAGGGGCCAAAAAGGCTTCTACCTTGCCTATTTTTCACATTTCTTATCAAACTAACCTATAACTTGCACTAGCATACCAATATAGCCTAGTTACAAGTGTTCGTGCATTGAAAACGAACCTTAGAAGCATTTCACTAAGTTTTGGGACGCTATTCGTGATTTTCGAGGGAAAAAGGGCCAAAAAGGTTTCTACCTTGCCTATTTTTCACATTTCTTATCAAACTAACCTATAACTTGCACTAACATACCAATATAGCCTAGTTACAAGTGTTCGTGCATTGAAAATGAACCTTAGAAGCATTTCACTAAGTTTTGGGACGCTATTCGTGATTTTCGAGAGAAAAGGGGCCAAAAAGGCTTCTACCTTGCCTATTTTTCACATTTCTTATCAAACTACCCTATAACTTGCACTAACATACCAATATAGCCTAGTTACAAGTGTTCGTGCATTGAAAACGAACCTTAGAAGCATTTCTCTAAGTCTTGGGACGCTATTCGTGATTTTCGAGGGAAAAGGGGCCAAAAAGGCTTCTACCTTGCCTATTTTTCACATTTCTTATCAAACTAACCTATAACTTGCACTAACATACCAATATAGCCTAATTACAAGTGTTCATGCATTGAAAACGAACCTTAGAAGCATTTCACTAAGTCTTGGGACGCTATTCGTGATTTTCGAGGGAAAAGGGGCCAAAAAGGCTTCTACCTTGCCTATTTTTTACATTTCTTATCAAACTAACCTATAACTTGCACTAACATACCAATATAGCTTACTTACAAGTGTTCATGCATTGAAAACGAACCTTAGAAGCATTTCACTAAGTTTTGGGACGCTATTCGTGATTTTTGAGGGAAAAAGGGCCAAAAAGGCTTCTACCTTGCCTATTTTTCACATTTCTTATCAAACTACCCTATAACTTGCACTAACATACCAATATAGCCTAGTTACAAGTGTTCATGCATTGAAAACGAACCTTAGAAGCATTTTACTAAGTTTTGGGATAATGTTTGTGATTTTACCAACATAGCCTAGTTACTGAATTTAAATTTTAGCGACATTAAATTAATGAATTTATTACCGCAATCTCCTTGGACTTTTTGTTTGCCGGAACCTTTCCTTTTCCCGACACATCCTTGAAGTGCGTTTTCAGGAACAGATCAGCAGCGGATGGCAACCTCCCTAGGTTTTCCGCCGCCTTTGCACATAAATACAAATAAATCACATTAATTTGTAAACTTAATTACTGCAAAACATAAAACAACAAATCTCATATGCTGACCATCCGTTTTGCATGTTGTACGGCTGATACGGAACCCTGGAAGTGGGTTGCCTCCACTTCATTCTCCATGGAACCGCCTCTTCGGTTCAGCTTATTCTGTGTGGACCGCTTCTTGTACGTGTCATCAGAGTCAGGAATCTCCATCATCTTCCTGTGCACTTCCTCTGACACCCAATACGGTCTCGCACCTTTCATCTTCTTCGTGACAGTGTAAAACATGTCACGAAGGCGGGTACCGGCCCGAGCTTTAAATGCCGATTGTACCTGACTGTCCAGCTCCGATGACCACGTAAAATTTTGCTGCATAATCAAAACTCGTAAAACGTAACAACAAAATATTTTTCATTTAAAATAATACTATTTGTACTGGTACATACCCTGAACAAGTTCCACCAATGACTTTTCGTGGCCTCGTCAACCTCTCCATAGTTTCTCCAAGGCGCCGTATAGTGCCCCTGGATCGAACCGGAGACGGCTTTCTTCACTATTTGGTCATCAAACCTGTTTTAGAACAACAAAAAGGCCGTCGGTAGCTTTTGATAATTAGAAATGTGAATCATGAAATGCATATAATAGCTGATGTAATATTCTTACCAGAGCGTGCCCGGGTCTAGGCGTGGCACTACATACCCTCGTGCGTGCTCCGACTGCCCTGAGCTCCGGGGCTGTGACAGATCCTCATGCTGAGTAAGCGAATCTGGTACCTGAGTGTCACCTAGACCCTGAACAGTCTCAGAGCAGACAACTTCAATAATGTCTTGTAACATGCCAAAATACTCTCCTCCATCTTGACTGGACACACACACACCGTAATTGATCGTGCCCTTATGCCTGCCGTAGTCTTGCGTATGGAAATTGAAACCGCTAACAAATATTCGGCTCCAAGTGCGAACTTTCTTGAACGGACCCATAGCCAAAGCTTGCAACACATCAGATCCTGGTTTCTCTTCAATTACCTATAAGCGGTAAGATAAAATTAAAATACGTCATATTTGGATTATTAAAATTGAGCTGGATTGTACATATAGAAGTCCATAATTATCCCTATATTTGAGATTGGTCTGACCTTGTCCCTAAACCAATTAGGGAACTGTGTTTCGAATGTCTCCCATACAGCTTCTCTACGCAAGGTAGGACGGGTGCTAAGAATATGGTCCTCAAACTTCCTGCTACGACAGCCAGAACTTGTTAATGACCGTGAAACTCAGTACACGTGATCATATGATGGAAACAATTTAGTTATTGTAGATTACCTTTCATATTCACCTAATATGCCACTGTTTGATAAAACAAATAAGTGTGCACGTTGAAATTCCTTTTCATCTAACCACCTCAATTTTCCCTCTGTTGACACACGACCGGTGTCCTCCGAAAACAGTTCTGGGATGTCATTGGTGTCGAGGGAGGTGTCAACATCAGCATTCACATTCCGACCCAGATCTTGGGTTTTTGTGTCAACTGACGGCTGGAAGTAATTTGAGCAGAAATTTGATATCTCCTCAGTTAGGTAAGCGCTGCATATCGAACCTTCAACACGAGCCTTGTTGCCAATTTTCCGTTTTATATGGTTCAGGAACCTGAAATTAAAGTATATTATGATTTTAAACGGTGAATTTGTGACTGCTCAAAAACTAAATCAAGGGTTCAGTACCTTTCGAATGGATACATCCATCGATACTGCACGGGTCCAGCTAACTTTGACTCGTACGGTAAATGAATGGGTAAATGCTCCATGGAGTTGAAGAATGCAGGCGGAAAAATCTTCTCCAGTTTGCAAAGGATCTCGACAATGTTCTTTTCCAGCCGTTCCATGTCACTGACTGTGACTGTGTAGCAACACAAGTCTCTAAAGAATTGACTGATCTCTGTAATTGCATTCCAGACATGAACAGGGAGCAATTCTCTCAATGTGACAGGTAATAACCTCTCCATGAACACGTGACAATCATGACTTTTCATTCCGTGTATCCTACACGCCTGCAGATCCACACATCTGCTCAAATTGGAGGCGTAACCGTCAGGAAATCGCAGGTCACGAACCCACTCACACAAAACCTTCCTCTGACCCTTATCGAGGCAGAATGGGGCCTTTGGCATGACCTCATTCCCTCTGTCATCAGCCTGTAGATGAAGTTGCGGTCGCCTACAATATTTGGCAATGTCTTTTCTGGCCAAAGGTGTGTCAGAAGTTTGTCTTCTCACATCCATTACAGTGTGAAAGAATTAATCAAAGAAGTTTTTTCAATGTGCATGACATCTAAGTTGTTACGAATCAGCAAATGCTTCCAATACGGAAGCTCCCACAGGCAACTTTGCTTGAACCACCCTTTCTTTTCCTTTTTCAACTCTTGCACTGATTCGGGCCCATCCGTGGCCCGTGGCCCTCGGAAGGTCTTTCACACACTCCTAAAGTTCCGCCCCTGACATGATGTGCGGCGGTGCGCCTTTTTCAACTCTGTTTCTGCAAAATGCTGTTTTACTTTTTAGGAAAGGATGATCTGCAGGAAGAAATTGACGATGACAATCAAACCACGAAACTTTTCCGCCATGCTGCAACCAAAATGCCTTGCTTTTTTCCATGTAGTACGGGCAAGCCTTCTTACCAGCCGTGGAGCATCCAGACAACATTCCATATGCAGGGAAGTCACTAATGGTCCATAGGATGGCTGTTCTCAAATTGAAATTTTGATTCTTTGATATATCATAAGTACTTACGCCAACTTCCCACAACTGTTTCAGCTCTTGTATCAGTGGTTGCATGTACACATCTAAATTTCCCTTCGGGTTTTTGGGACCAGGGACTATCAGCGACAAGAACATGAACTGCCTTTTCATACACATTGAGGGAGGCAAATTGTATGGGGTCAAAATCACGGGCCAACAAGAGTACTGACCCCCGAACTTACCATGAGGAGCAAAACCATCTGTACACAGCCCTAGTCGAACATTCCGTGGATCCAAGGCAAACTCTGAAAGCAGGTATCAAGCTGTCTCCAAGCTTCAGTGTCATTAGGGTGTGCCATCGTGCCTTTGACACGAGGATTATTTGCATGCCAACTCATTTCCTCTGAAATGTTCTTCGTTGCAAACATCCTTTGCAACCTAGATGTGATCGAGAAATAAAATAGCGCATTCTTTGGAACCAAGCTGCCTTTTAAAGTTCTTTTGTATCAATCATTGCCACACACTCTACATGTAGGAAGCTCATCATCCTCTTTCCAAAACAACATACATCCCTTGGGGCATGCATGAATCTTTTCATGCGGCAGCTCCAACCCCTTAACAACCTTCTTAACATCGTAGAATGTCTCACCCAACCGGCTGTTGCCAGGGATCGCTTCTGTCAAAAATTCTAAACTAACATACATACATTATACCAAACTAAACTAACATACATTATACTAAACTAATAACATACATTATAATAATATAAACTAAACTAATAACATACATTATACTAATATAAATTCAACTAAACTAACATACATTATACTTAACTAATTAATATACATTATACTAAACTAACATACATTATACTTAACTAATATACATTATACTAAACTAACATATACATTATACTAAATTAAACTAAACTAAACTAAACTAAACTAACATATACATTATACTAATAAACTAAACTAATTAAACTAACATAAAAACATAATTAACATATCAATAACCAACATACATTATGTTAAAAATTAAACTAATTAAACTAACATAAAAACATAATTAACATATCAATAATCAACCTACATTATATTAACAATTAAACTAATAAACTAACATAAATATTACATTAACATTAATATTAACATTACATATTAAAAGTTAAACTAATAAATTAACATAAACATAAACTTTAACATAAAAAAAAACTAACCGGGTTTTTTGGTTGTGGGTTGAAGGTGGTGGAGCTTGAAGAAGAATGAAGCTTGAGGAAGAAAGAAGCTTGAAAAATGGAGCTTGGAGCTGCTTCAATGGAGGAAGGTGAAGGCGTGAAGAACAAAGGTGGAGGAAGAGGAAGGTGAAGGCGTGAAAAATTTGGGAAAACCGAAATGAAATTAGGCAATTCTGGTTTTTAGTGCCGAAAACTTTCCGACGGAAATTTCCGTCGCAATTCCGTCGGAAATTCCATCGGAAAATGGTATCCTATGCGCAGAACCATTTTCCGACGGAAAAGGATATCCCAGGTTCAACCTTTTTCCGACGGAATTCCGTCGGGAAAGGGTTTCTCCGACGGACTCTTTCCCTCGGAAATTTTTCGACGGAATTATCCGTCGGAAATGGAATAATATCGTCGGAAATGCTCCAGTTTTCTGACGGACCCTTTTTCCTCGGAAAATATGCCTTTTTGCGACGGAATTTTTCCGACGGGCGTAGTTTCCGTCGGAAATAAGCTTGATTCTTGTAGTGGTTGAACCTGGGATACCCTTTTCTGACGGAAATTTCCGTCGGAATTTCGTCGAAAAAGGGTGTCTCCGACGGACTCTATCCCTCGGAAATGGCATAATTTCGTCGGAAATCCTCCAGTTTTCCGACGGACGTATTTTCCGTCGGAAATAAGCTTAATTCTTGTAGTGTGACTCAATCATATTCATCCATATTTTCTTCATGATGCGTACCTGCATAAAAGCTCATCAGATATAAGATATTATTCTACTATAAGAGTACAAGGAGAGTTTCAAAATACTAATCAATTCAACCTATAGAATGAATGATACTCTGTATATTTGATTAGGAAAGCTTACCTTCAATGGAATCATCATCTTCAGTACTAGTAGAATGTTTATCGCTTGATTCTGTCTCTTCTAATTCAATCCATACATTTTTCACATGCTCTATTTTGTGTGAATCTTCGCCTCCCTTTGAATACGTCTCTTTAAGCAAAGGACAATCATCTATAACTAGACTATCAAGCGGGGAGGACAACATATCATCAGGCAAACATTCAAGTTGTGGGCAATCTATTAATTCTAAATGCTTCAAAGATTGACATCTTGGGAATGAAGAGAGTAATGCTAGGTTGGGACATCGATTTATGATGAGCTTAACTAGGCAAGGAAAGTCCCCATCTCTTAACCCTTTCCACTCCTCCACTCGATACATACCATTGATTGATAACTTCTCCAAAGCATGGTATGCTACACGATCTTTGTCCTCACCATAACATGTGTGATCAATTTTTTTGACACCATTCATTTCGAATATTTCAAGATTGTTGAGTTGGGGCAGTCGACCAAGACAAGGAAAGTTAGAGCAATTTTCACATTTGAATAGGGAAATACTAACCAACCATTCATATTGAGGATCCCCCATCCAATTTGGAAGACATTCTCCGAAATAGCACACAATCTTCAGCTCTTCCAAGGATGAATGTGGTTTTAGACCCTCGATAACTCTAACTAATTCCTCCTTAGGAAAATATTCGCTAAAGTCACTCCATCTTAGTTCCAAATGCTTAAGGCATTTTTTGTCAATCAAAGTTGCTTCTTCTGCATCCTGTGAGCTCGCATGCTCCAACCCTGAGATGCAAAATGTTCCTGATAAATTATTCATAAGCTTTAACTCTTGGATATTGCAGCGTTCCTCCCCATCAACAATGAATGCATGTAAAGTTCGAAGCTCCGTTAGATGCCCTATTCCTCTTGGCATCAAAGTCAATTGGCTGAGAACATCAAAATCTAGATGTCGAAGATTACTAAGCTCCATCGTTCTTTCAGGTAGCTCAAAAAGATCTGTACACCCTTTAAGCCTCAAAGTTTGCAATTTTCGCAAATGAACTATTGACTGAGGTAACCTATTAATCGGTGAGCCTGAAAGATCAACATAACAAAGCTCTTTTGCATCCTGAATTGAACTTGGTAGCTCTGTTACACGACTACCACTCAAATCTAATGCTGTAAGAAACTTCAAAGTGGAAAAAAAATCAGGTGGAACTCGTGTGGGAAGAGATCCGTCGAGCAACAGAAGCGTTTTTATCTTGTCAATTTTCATGAGAGATTCGAAAGATTGGTTAATGTTGCTAGACTGCACAGATATATGCCACACATCAGCAAACTGATTGGCCATAACATTGTCATCCCTTATTTTCATATTGAAGTCTTTGATTGAATCTGCCCTGGCACGAACATCAGGTATCATATCGGAATTCACTTTATACAAATTACTCTGCCTCGAAATGCCAATTCTTGAAGGTAAGATGTACTTCTTTTCCAAGAGAATATTAAAAATACGATCACCATTATCCTCCAAAGGCTCCTTTGTTAAAAACCCCGCTGCCATCCACAATTGAATTAATTTTTCTCTTTCGAACTCATAAATGTCACCAAACAGAAGACAGTAAAGAATCATGTATCTCTCCTGAACCATAATCTTCATTCTTGCTATGGCACGTAGAGTCAATGACAAAGTCTTCCATCGGTTATGCTTTGAAAGCTCAGGTTTTTGCATACACAAACTGGCTAATCCTATTTGAACTGACTGCCATCTGCTCCTGTCTTGACCATACAAAAGACTTCCTGCCACTTTTACAGCGAGTGGAAATCTGGCACATCCATCAACAATCTTTCGCCCAATCTCGACCAGCTCATCGGGGGGGTTTGATGACTGATCTGTTGTAAAAGCCATTTGTTCAAATAAGCGCCAACAATTTTCCTTTGAAAAGATCTGTAGCTCATGCACAGCACCATCCACCATCATTGCAGTAGTATGTGAGCGTGTAGTCACCATGATCCAACATCCTCTTTGACCTCCAGCCAAGTATTTTACCAAGTCACACCATTGATTACGGTTCTCAAACCATACATCATCTAAAATAATCAAGTATCTCTGACCTGCTAGCTGTTTTCGAATTATGGATTGCACACGTTCCATGTAATTAGATCCCTCATGATCCTGGCCAAGTATCTTGCAAAGAACTTGTTTCACATCAAGCTCGATCTGATCTTGACAACCCACACAAGTCCACTTTCTCCATGAAAATGCACTTGTTATCCTGGGATCGTTGAACACAAGTTGAGCAAGAGTCGTTTTTCCCAAGCCTCCCCTACCCACAATAGAAAGGAAAGACACGTCACGTTTATCATTAGAAGGATCAAGCAGCATACCAACGATCTTCTCCAATTCATTCTCTCTTCCAATGACACCGGATTCATACGCGTAAGAACAGGTGTCAGGCCTTCTGTTCCTGATAGGTTGAGGGTCATGCTTAAAGCTAAACTGGTTGTTGTAATAAATAGCATCCAGATTCTTCTTGATCTTCTCCAACCCTTGACTCACTCTATTATCAAAGGTAAGTGGGCTCCTCTTGATGTAAGTATCGTCAGGCTCTAGAAGTTGCTTCTGCGCCGCGATGAGGACAAACTCATCAAACAGATCTTCAGCTTCATAGATGGCTTCCTGGATCTCATGGATTTGATCCCTCTCTTGATGGGAGAGGAACTCCTGCTTGATCTCGGCAAAATCCCGGAGCACAAGCTCGATGGCTTCGACACTGCCTTGGATGGCATAAAATTGGGATTTGTATTCAACAATTGAGCAAATATTCTTCAGTTCTGGACGTTGCAGCTCTGCTAAAAGAGTTCGAACAGCAGATACAGCTCTACCTACACCATCCATTATTTGGTCAATGAGAAGAGAAGGGTACTGTAATTAATTATACTTATTATGCAAGATTGAATAAAGTACTAGTAGCAATAATAGTGTATTTGGCTATTAAATACCAAGTAAGTGAACAGTTACCAGTTTTTCTATAAATTTATGTGGTTGATATTTTCGTATTTTATTATCCATATTAGCCTTAAATAACGGCTATTTCACTAAATGTTATTGAGTACTTAAAAATTCACCAAATACCATCGTGTTTTTCAAAATTCATCAAATGTCACTGAGATTTAGTACAATATTACCAAATGTCATTTCTGTTAATTTCTGTTAGTTAACCATCAGTGTCCGTTAGTTGACCCCACCACTTGTCAATGTCACCTTCTGATTGACCATTTTTTTTAAAAATATTATTTTTTTTAAAAAATAAAGAATTAAAACAAAAAAAATTAAAAAATTAAAAAAAAAAGAAGAGGAGGAGAGAGAAAATGAGGAACAGCCGTCCTTCCTCCACATTAAAACCAGCCACCCTGCCCCCACCTCCGCCACCGTGACCGCCTCCCGCCGGCGCCTAACTACCCCTGAAAACGCGCGCCAGATCCAGCGACACCCACCTCAACCTCGAACCACCCTCCCCTTCCCCTAAACCACCTTAACCCCTCCCTAAAACCGCCTGAAATTGGGAGCCCAAAACCCCAGCCATCCCCGAAACCCCCGAAATCACCCTTCTTCTCCCTTTCCGATTTCTAGCCACTCCACCCAAAGACCGATTTCCAATTCCAAATTGACACCAACCAATTTCTAGCCGCCGCACTGTTACCAAAATCCCCCGGCGACTTCAGAGGAGTGACAGATGCAGAAGAAGCGGCGAATCGGGATTAGAAATCTGGGTTTGGGGTCGGTCGGGTTTTGGGAAATGGGGTTTGGGAAATGGGTTTTGGGAAATGGTAAAAGAAACAACAACTTACCTCAGAAGCTGCTTCAATGGGGGATACAAGGTGGTCGGAGTGAGGCGACGGCTGCCGGAGATTGTGGAGGAAGGGGGGCTCGAAATCGTGGAGGGGGAAGCGCTACAATGGAGAACTGAGAGAGAGAGACGCGAGCAGGAAAATGTTGAGGGTCGCCGGAATGAGAAGGTGGTCGGAGTGAGGCGACGGCTGCCGGAGATTGTGGAGGAAGGGGGGCTGGAAATCGTGGAGGAAGGGGGGCTGGAAATCGTGGAGGGGGAAGAAAGGGGGCTGACCGGAGGGGGAGATTGTGGAGGAAGGACGGCTGTTCCTCATTTTCTCTCTCCTCCTCTTCTTTTTTAATTATTCATGGAATTCTCTTCAACCATATATATTTTGTCCCTTCTTTTCATTACCAGTAAACGATAGTTATGCATAATAGATATTAAGATACTTACCATATCCATTCAGTAATAATTCAAAGAGAATAAGCTAAATCGAGCTACTTCAACAATGCAAACGATTTTCAATTGCTCATTCAATGTTACCAGAAGCTCTGAACCACACCTAGCTAGGCTCTTCTGTCTTTCAAGCATACAATCCCTCATCAATCTTGCAGCAATTTTGCCTCCCCAACAGCCATAATTTCATATCTAAGTACATAGATAGAGTAGCTCTATCTATCAAGCATATTCAATAGAACAAAAATGTGTCTCACCTACACCACGGCCTTGTATGTCAAATTTCCATTGTTATAGATCTAGATACATCCCTGGATGCAAGATCTTAGCTGTGGGAGCATATCTTCCATGAACCGCTCACCCTCGTTATTTTTGAGAATACCACCATCACCATGGGAACCTAGTAGTAAAGAAGTCGTCATTTAGATCATAAACATAGTTTATATACTCATTCTTTTTATCCAAATTCGAGGTGAGAACGAAAGCTCTCTTCTAAAGCAAAAAAAATTGCAGCAGCTAATTGTGGAGCCCAAGTATCCCAAAACAAAATCATAAACACTCTCACTCTCTTAAGCACCTCCCATATACCTCTTGAGAATCAAATCTGACCTAAATACAATGGTGGCCTAGAAGAGCACATTTTAGCTCAAAGTTCATAGTTTGCAAAGCCAATGTCATCAACCATTAATTAATAATATGCTAATGTGTCATATGATGTAAAGTTTCAAGGAAATCAGAAACTATTAATTGCAAGGATAAAATTTCTTACTTTGAAACTGGTGGAGCTACATTAGTGAATATACTCTTGGTAGAAGCTTTTGTTTTTAATCACTCATCTTTAGTCTTTCTAGACTATTACATTCCTTTCCTGACTTAGCATATGATATTAATCAACAAAAGTACTCCGTATCTAAAATTATAAAAGCCGAATCAAGGAAAGATTGATTGTATTTACTTAAAATAAGGTAATATTAACGCAGAAAAATTAAAGCTAAAATCATGAACAAATTCAGCAATCGCAGACTCGGTGTAGGACTGCAGCCAACCTTTAAAGACTCGTAGCAAAACTCCTCGTGGTGGATGTAAATTGCGAGGAATGATGCCTGGATCACAGGCTGAAGTGAATAAAAAGAGTACGAATACCTTTCATAATCAGCAGGGTTATATGCCATATTGCCAAAGGCACCCAAAAAAATTAAAAATAAAAAACTTCTATAACATTTGCACTGACATAGAAACTTATAGATATAACAATGGAAACAGAAACAAAACTAAATCCAGAAATGGTGCAATATTAACTCTGAACTCCGCCACCCACACCCCCAAATCGACATGCTATCTATCTCTATTAATGTTAACTTAGTTCAGCAACAAAAGAAATCTTACCAGTGATCTGGTTCGCTGAAATGATCAAAAGCCTCAGCTTCTCTACCTGTCTCCTTTTAATTGATTACTCAGATTTCAGATCTACCTTCTTTCTATTAATGTAAACACTAAAACACTATACTGAGAACAAAAGGCATTGAATGCCAGACCCTCAAAGGAAGGTGAGCAACCAGGGTCTTTCAAAGCTATCAAGTAAGCTTTTATTTTATTTATTAATTTATTTTATTTTCAATTTTTTTCATTCTTTGGGCTAAAAGTGCACCGTTCAGTAATCCACTTAATGTATGCTTCAGGTACAATTTCACACCCATTATCCACCATTTTTGTATCCAAATGTGCAAGACATAATGAGACAACACCTGGAACTCTTCCAAACTTCAGAGTTTAAGCAAGCAGAGGGATACACTAATATATAATCAATGTATACCAGATGAAAATATGAGCAGCAGGGTAGTGAAAGAGAAGAGCAAGGTGTAAGTGAGTGCGCATGTGTGCGTGCCAGCCTGTACCCATGTCTGTGCACAAACCAGAAAAGTCTAATAAAAAAGGTTCCTTTAAACCCTCTTAATATAATGACTTCCTTAAGGTTTTTAGAATAAACAGAAGACTGAACATTCCTATTGATTATGATATTCATTCAAGTCACTAATAGCATTACATCATAAGTAGTAACTAAATATCAAAACTTGTTTGCACCCATTCGGCATTCATTGAAACAGGGGTATATGACCAACATGCAAAGGCACCAACATTCACCAACCTTACACACACACCACACTGACACACACACACACACGCATGTATCACAATTAAGAGAAACATATTAAAAAGAAAAAATATTTAACTATAGGAAAAAGAAAATATAGACTTAAAATTATTCTAAAAAAAGAGTTCATAAACTCACTTTACTCTCAGCAAGTTAGCAATACTGTTGTGGCAAGGGTTTTCCTTGTCTTTTTCGATATAATTTCAAGCTATCAAGTCCTCGTTCCTCTTCTGTACTGCGTTGAAATCGGGATGGAAAGAGCAAACAAAAACAGATGTACAAGTTCTTTCAAACAAAAAAAAAAAAAAAAAAAAAGAACAGATGTACAAGTGAAATTATGGGAAAAGAAAAGAAAAATAAAAAATAAAAAACTTTTTCCAATAGACCCAACATTCACAAATATATTGCAGAAAAAAACATTATCTCAATAAAAACTAGTAATCCCTACTCATCATATCAGAGCACAAATAAGAACATAAAATTTTTTGAAAATGAAATGTCACACGAAAGATTGGTTATTTGGCATATCAAACTAAAAACCTAATCAGTTTTCATCTCATTCATAATACACCCTCCTTTCTAAAAGAGCGTATATTCATATGAAAACTGCACAGAAAGCTGAATTTCCTCGTCTCACTAACAACTTCTTATGAAGAAGTCAACAATCACATGATAGATAAGAACAATAATATAACCATGACAACAAAAGTCAATAGAAACAACAATGCAAGTTGTATGAGCAAGAGCTTACCGATCTGGTGATCAATCATGCAGGAACCATCAGAACATAGGAGAGTCGAAAATACATCAAAACCCTCAGAAGGACACAAACTGAGAATGAGGCGCATAGCCTTCTGGCAATCCGGCATTTCAGCTAACAAGTATCTCTTGTGCATTTCGTTTACACTCGAAACAATATGATGAACCAGAATCCTAAATCAATTAGGAAAATCTTCCTATTGCACTTTCTCCAAATTTTGCGATCAAAGTTTCATAATTTCTCACTGGAACATGGATCAATCAATTAAGAGATTTCCATCATTCAGCTACCTGAATATAGTTCAACATCTTACAGGATGAAGATAAAAGGCAATTAAAATGGCAAGAAGAAAATTAGGTATTTACATGATCATAGTTGCATTTTCCTTGAAACTATCCAAGGGTGCAATAGACCACGAAAGTGAACCAAAGAACGTCACAATGCATCCCAGGATTCACCAAAAACTGGATGAGGCTCAAAGCTAGAACGGGACCTAGGGCTACAAAACCCAGTCCTTAAGGTGTTTATATCAGCTTGACGACCAGAGCAGACAATATTTTCCAGATGATCCGCTAAGTGGCTAATATTTTCAACATTTGTTGTAGACACCCAAGGTGACATAACGAAGTTGCAAAGAGACCTTTCACCGAGGGATCTTTTTCTATTCTCCAAGTCAAAGCCCTTGGTTTATCTAACAGCTTTGAAAAGTCATAATCTACTGTCTTATCTACACTAACATCCACGACATTCATAAAGGCAGCCAATTTTGCCTTTTGAA